CTCCACCTCCTGGGTTCAGGCAATTCTCCTGCCTCAGCCTCCTGAGTAGCTGGGATTACAGGCACCTGCCATCATGCCCAGCTAATTTTTTGTATTTTTAGTAGAGACGGGGTTTCACCACGTTGACCAGGATGGTCTCGATCTCTTGACCTCGTGATCCACCCGCCTCGGCCTCCCAAAGTGCTGGGATTACAGGCGTGAGCCACCGCGCCCGGCCCTTATTATTTTTTTATAAATTATACTTTAAGTTCTGGGGTGCGTGTGCAGAATGTGCAGGTTTGCTACATGCCATGGTGGTGTGCTGCACCATCACCCCATCATCTACATTAGGTATTTCTCCTAATGCTATCCCTCCTTACCCCCCACCCCCTGCAGGGCCTGGTGTAAATTGATTCTTTAAAATCTCCGTTCACCAAACAGAATGCATATTCCAGGCAGTTCCAGCCGGCACCCCCGTCTGTCGTGGTCCAGGGCCCAGCGCTGATCTTTTTCATGCCCACGTTTGGTGTGGGTTGTGTTGACCTCAGGATCTCCTGGACTGCCCTGGCTATGCTGACGGAACGTCTGTCTCTCCCACAGTGTTCCACCGCTGCGGAAGAGCCTTCGACTTTGGATAGGGGAGCTGTTTTCGCCATCAACTTTTCACCTGCTCTCAGAGAGATTATTAATGAAACCAAGTACTTAGAGCAACTAGGATTCACTGTCCCTGAATTAGCAAGAAACATTGCTCTCCAGGAAGACAAATTCCTTAGGTAAAAAAATTCTCTTAAATTAGCAGTAAACTTTTTGGTCTTGGAACCCCTTTACACTCTTATGAATTATTGAGGACCCCTCCAAAAGCTTTCACTTTTGTGGATTTTATAATTATCAATTCTTACCACATTAGAAATTGAAGCTAAAGCCCAGGTGTTGTGGTACATGCCTGTAGTCCCAGCTACTTGGGAGGCTGAGTGGGAGGATTCCTTGAACCTGGGAGCTTGAGACTGCAGTGAACCATGATTGCACCACTGCACTCCAGCCTGTGAGACGGAGCAAGACCCTGGATTAAAAAAAAAAAAAAAAAAAAGGTGAAGCTAAGAAAAGTTTAAAATATGGGGCTGGGTGCAGTGGCTCACACCTGTAATCCCAGCACTTTGGGAGGCCAAGGTGGGCGGATCATGAGGTCAGGAGTTCAAGACCAGCCTGGCCAGCATGGTGAAACCCCATCTGTATTAAAAATACAAAAAATTAGCCAGGCATGGTGGCACGTGCCTGTAGTCTCAGCTACTTGGGAGGCTAAGGCAGGAGAATTTCTTGAACCCGGGGGGTCAGAGGTTGCAGCAGTGAGCCGAATCACGCCACTGCACTCCAGCCTGGTCTACAGAGTGAGACTCCACCCCCTGCCCCCCAAAAAAGGTTTAAAATATGGGTCAACAATAGTAAACCTATTACATGTAATGTAAATAACATATTTAATGAAAAGTAACCAATATTTTCCAAAAAAGAAAGTTAATGAGAAGAGTCGTGTTGTTTTAAATTTCTGCAAATCTCTAGATCAAGGTTGTAGGCAGATTCATGGTCTTTTGTAATATCTTGATTGCAGAAGCTTTTGATGAGCTTAAAGGTACTCTCCTCAGGTTTGTGACATTCCTGTCACGTGTAGGTACACAGATGGAATACAGCGCATGTTGGATCATTACCACACGCTCATAGGAACGCTAAACGAGGCGGAGTCTGTGCTTCTCAACGATCATTCCCAGGAACTCCTCCGAGTGTTTAGGTCTGGATATAAGAGGTTGAACTGGAACTCACTAGGTAACGTCATTCATCTATTGCTTGCTTTTTAGGCTTGGGGATGCAAAGTAATTCTTTTAGGTTGTTTTATTTGAATTACAATTTTCATGTGTTTATAGACACCATTAACACTTTTTGAGGGTTAACAAAGTACATGTGTGGAACTTAGAACTGACCTCCAGGCTGTCATTGGGACGAAGATAAGAGGCGTGACCCTTTCACACTCTGCAGATGCAAAGCACATTTCTCCAAAAGAAGGTCACCTTTACTTTTTTTAATTAAAAATTTGATTTGGAGGGAATTATAGATTCACATGCAGTTGTTAAGAATTACTGCAGAGGGAGCCTTCGCACCGTTTGCTCATTTTCCCTAAGTAGTAACCTTGCAAAACTGGATTACAACCAAGATACTGACATTGATAGAGTCAAGATAGAGAACATTTTCATGCCACAGCAAGTACTGTCGAGTTCACTTCCCTCCCATCCTTGTCCTCTCCTTAATCCCTGGCAACCATAAATCTTTTTTTTTTTGAGACGGAGTTTCGCTCTTGTTGCCCAGGCTGCAGTATAATGGCGTGATCTCAGCTCACTGCAACCTCCACCTCCCTGGGTCAAGCGATTCTCCTGTCTCAGCCTCCCGAATAGCTGGGATTGCAGGAATGCCACCATACCTGGCTAGTTTTTGTATTTTTAGTAGAGATGGGGTTTCATCATATTGGTCAGGCTGTTCTTGAGCTCTGGACCTCAGGTGAGCCGCCCGCCTCAGCCTCCCAAAGTGCTGGGATTACAGGTGTGAGCCACCATGCCCGGCAACCATGAATCTTTATTCAATTTCTGTAATGTTGCCATTTTAGAGTGTTACATACATGAGATAAACATAGCTCTTTTTTGAGTTGGCTTTTCTTTCTCAGCCTAAGTCTTCAAAGATCTATCCGTGTTGTTGGATGTGTCAATAGTGCATGTATTTTTGAAGAAAACTCCACAGTATCGATGTACCATAGTTTGTTCAGCCTTCCACCTCTCAAAGGACAGCTAGGTTGTTTCCAGTTTTGGCTCTTGTCGATAAAGCTACCATAAACATTTGTGTACAGGGTTTTGTGTGAACACGATTCTTCTTTTTTTTCTGGGACAAAGGCCCAGGAGTGCCCTTGCTGAGTTGCACGGTAGTTGCATGTTGAGTTTAAGATTGCGGTGGTTGCCGTTTTGAGTTGGAGTTTCCCTCTTGTTGCCCAGGCTGGAGTGCAGTGGCGTGATCTCAGCTCACTGCAACCTCCACCTCTGGGGTTCAAGCAATTCTCCTGCCTCAGCCTCCTAAGTAGCTTGGATTACAGGCACTTGCCACCACTCCTGGCTAACTTCTGTATTTTTAGTAGAGACAGGGCTTTGCCATGTTGGCTAGGCTGGTCTTGAACTCCTGGCCTCAAGTGATCCGTCCATCTTGGCCTTTCAAAGTGCTGGGATTACAGACGTGAGCCACCGTGCCTGGCCTCGTTTTGTTTTACTGTCATGCTGTTTAATGGGACAGTCGTGCCGTTTTACATTTCTATCACCAATGCATGAGTGGCCCACTTTCTCTGCATCCTGGCCAGCTTTGCTGTCACTTTTTTTTTTTTTTTTTTAATTTTGGCCGTCTGATAGCTGTGTAACAATATGTCCAATGGTTTTGATTTGACTTCTATAATGGCTAATGGTGTTGAGCACCTTTTCACGTGCTAAGAAGCACAAATATGTCGTGTGTATGGCCTGTTCAGTGACGTGTCTTTTTATGTCTTTTGCCTATGTTGTAATTAGATTGTTTGTTTTCTTTGCTGTTGAGTTTTGAGCACCCTTTGTATATTCTAGATGCTCGTCCTTTATCGGATGTGTGGTTTGCAGATATTTTCTCCTGCTCTGTAGCTTGTCCTTTCTTTCTCATGGGAGGGCCTTTGGTAGAGCAAAAGCTTTACGTTTCAACTAAGTCCAACATAGCAGTTTTTCCTTTAATGGGCTCTACTTTTGGTGCCAAGTCTAAGAGTCACTGCCTTGCCCTAGGTCTTAAAGTGTTTTTCTCTCCTGTGTTTTTGTTTATAAAAATGTTATAGTATTGTGTTTCATAGCACAGTCTGTGATACATTTTGGGGCTTTTATTTTTGTAAAGTGAGACCGATCATAAGTACTTAACCCGAGTTTACTGTTCGCGTTCTTGCTGTGGACCTGTCTAAGCTCCAGGCCGGAGGAGGTTGCAGGCAGGTGGTGCGGAGTGGAGGCTGCAGGGAGCTGCAGCAGCAAGAAGGCAGCAGGGCTTGGTAGTCCCTTTTTCCCCATGGTGCTCCAGCCAGGACTGTGCTAACGTTTGAATAGAAGAAATGCATCGCTTGCTTGATTCTGGGTTTGGGGTCCTTTGTCCCAGTCCCTTAGGGTTCGAAGGGGATCTTTGCCACCCCAAAGACCCAAGGGGTTGGAATGAGCAGGGTCTTTCCTGGGGAGGGATGCCAGTATTAACATCACAGATGCTGGTGGGGCAGATGTGGAAAGACAGGTTGGAAGCCAAATGTCTTTCTTTCTTTCTTTCTTCAAAGGTATTGGTGACTATATAACTTGGTGCAAACAGGCCATTGGGAAGTTCGAGTCTCTTGTCCACCAGATTCATAAGAACGCAGATGACATTTCTTCCAGGCTGGCATTAATAGAGGCTACAAATCTCTTCAAATATCCAGCTGCTAAAAGCGAGGAAGAACTCCCAGGTAGATCTGACTTCTGGGTTCTCCGGTTATGGAATTACTAAAAAAATATATTGTATATGCATATATGTATATATAGGTATCTATAAATCTACATATGTATTTGTATATTCCATGAATGGTGTAAAACCATTTCTAATGCTCTCAGTCATTTACTTGAAAGAATCGTGGGCACCTATTACTTTTTGTCATGTTTTGTATATTGTTTAACAAATTCGTGTTTGTTTTTGTTTTGTTTTTTTCTGAGACGGGGTCTGGCTGTGTTGCCCAGGCTGGTCTTGAACTCCGGGCCTCAAGTGATCCTCCCATCTCATCTGTGAAAGCCTGTAGTGCTTTGTTGATAAGTTTGTAATAGTAAATCGGGTTGCATTTTTTATGGGCTCACATTTACTTGTTCAAGAAAAATACTTTAAATGGTCATGGACTAGTCAACAAGGAATTCAAGAAAAACTAGATTGCCCAAAGATAAAACAGCCACCTTCTGGATGTGCATAACTGGTTGTCATTTATTTGTCGCATGTGTTCCAATGTTGACTCGTGTTCTGCATTGGGCTGCGGCTGGAGGCTGTTTTTGTTTTTTTATGACACACAGCTCATGTTTGGATTGCCTTTTGAGTGCTAGCCTTCCCTGGGTTCGTGGGCAGCTGTAACAGATGTCCTTCTCTCTAGGTGTGAAGGAATTTTTTGAACACATTGAGCGAGAAAGGGCCAGAGACGTGGACCACATGGTGCGGTGGTATCTTGCCATCGGGCCTCTGCTGACCAAAGTTGAGGGCCTGGTCGTCCACACCAACACAGGCAAGGCCCCCAGGCTGGCCTCCTACTACGAATACTGGGAAAAGAAAATTTATGAGGTCCTGACAAAGCTCATCCTGAAGTAAGTTCATCTTGTTGCCTGTTTTAAATTGGTGTGTGTAGATTAAAACAGTCGACAAATATGGGCAGTTAGAGGGGGGCTGGCAAGGTACAGAATGACAGTCAGGTGGACGGTCAGACGCTTTCTGGCCGAAGGGCACTCCCAGCCTGGAGGGGTGACCTTCATGATCTTGTTAGGCCCCTCAACATTCCAGAGAAGAAAGCCTCCCTCTCCCCACTTCAATTATCTGAAAGACATAGTGAGCCTGTGTTCAGCTGGCAACAGAGAATTGCTGTCACTCAACACGGACCAGAATCCCAGAGGACTCCTTCTTTCATGTTGAGAGTGACAGATGTGAAGGACACATGACCCATTCCCTCTTATGCTGGCCTCAAGTCAGCCCCTAGCTAGCGCAGTCTGCGTGCGTGTGTTGAATGCCTGCCGCATGTGCCAGCCTCTGACACGGCGGACTCTGTCCCTTCCTTCCTGGGCCTCGCCCTCAGCAGCTCAGCCAGACCAGCTGGAAGGTGAGTGTGTGGACCCCATCGCGTTGGTGGCCCACAGACTGCTCTGGGATGTGAGGCTGACAGTCGGGGATCCTTCTAGGAAACCAGCCTGTGAAATCCATCACCGTTACTATGATGTCTGTATTGTCGAGAGCACTGTTCATTTTATCATGCAGTGTCTTCCTTGTGAGGGGAACCCCAGAAGTAATAACTCCAGTTCCTTCTTTGACTCCAGCCTAGCATTTTTCTTTTTCGTTTTTTGCACTGATTTTCTTGTTTGGTTTTTTAATGATATGGACTCTATGAGTTGCTGACCTCACAGCTTTCCCTTTCACTTTGGCTGCTAGGAAGCTCAGAACCAAATTTGTGGACTAAATGCAGCAAGTGTGCAGGTATTTGTGGTTTGCGTTTTTAGTCTCATCTGAACACATGGGAGAGCTCACGGTGCACCGTGTTCTGTGCTGCGCTCTTTCCAATTCTCATCCCTGTTTTACAGAGGAGGATACAGAATCTTGGCAGGTTAAGTGACTTGCCTGGGACCACACAGCCAGTAAGAGTAAGAGCTAGGATTTGAACCTGGGCAGCCCGACTGCAGTATCATTTCCTTAGATGGTGTCTGTTGAGTGTCTTCCTCCTTTCCTTAAGGGTGTCCGATGGGTGTCTTCTTTCTTTCTTTTTTTTTTACTCCACTTGAGTTGAGGATCTCTTTTCACAGTTAAAGTATCTTCGTGAGCTGCTAAAAATCTCTTCTGGAAAAATACATTGAAAAATAAAACAACCTTTAGTCTTCTTGTTTTCTGGACCTAGTTTGGCAAACTTCGCTAAGTGGATCCTTTAAATAACTCTGTTTTCTGTGCATTTCTTTATTCTCTGTTATTGCTTTTAACTTAGATTCCCAAAGCAGTCCCTTACATGGACCTACCTCCTATAGTGTTTCCCTTTCTAACATGCTGTGTTTTCTCCTGATACATTTATTAACTCATTTATTCATTCATTCATCCATCCATTCATTCACTCATCCATCCACACATTGATCCATCCATCCTTCCATCCACACATTTATTTGTCCCATCCATCCGTCCGTCCGTCCGTCCATCCGTCCGTCCGTCCATCTATCCAAGGTTTAGTAGAGCCTGCCCTGTGCTGGCTGTTGGATTAAACTGTGGTCACAGACAAGGCCTCTGTATCCTTGCAGTTTCTCTAACATCATAGAGAAGGCAGGACATAGGGAAAAAGACATAAAAGAGATGAGCTCTGCAAAAGAAATAAAGCAGAATAGTGTTCTGGGGAGAGAATGGAGACACTGCTGTAAGTGGGTGGTCAAGAAAGGCCACGGAAAAGCCACAGTTTAGCAGAGACCTGAGGATGAGTAGTGAGCTGAAAGGGGGGAGAGCCTTCTAGGGGAAACCAAAAACTGCTGTGAAGACCCTCAGGTGGGCCTTTGATCAGTGGAAGAAACAGAAAGAAGGAAAGATGAGATTGAAGGAGAGAATGAAGCTGGAGAGGCTGGCAGGGGTGGATCAGGTCACAGGGAGCGTGGGAAGTCACAGCAGGGAGCTTGCATTTTATCCTGACAGCCATGGGAGGCTGCTGGAGTGTGTTTAGCTGGAGAGAGAGGAGGTGGCGGGGAAAGGAATGGAGAGGGAGAGAAAAACAGGGAGTGGGGAGAGAGAGAGAGAGAGAGGGAGGGAGGGAGGGAGAAGGCTGGAGAGGGAGATAGTATAGGAAGAGGGAAAGAGAGAGGTGGAGAGAGGAGAGAGAAGAGAGAAGGGTAGGGGAAAGGAGAAGGAGGGAGAGAGAGGAAAGTGGAGGGAGAGGGAGAGAGAGAAGGGAGGAGAGGGAGTGAGGAGTTAGATGTTTTTGTTTTGCTTTGTTTTTTGAGGCAGGGTCTCACTATGTCACCAAGGCAGGAGTGCAGTGGCATATTCACGGCTCACTGCAGCCTCGACTTCCCCGCCTCAAGCAGTCCTCCCACCTCAGCCTCCTGAGTAGCTGGCACCACAGGCATGTGCCACTATGCCCAGCTAATTAATTTTTATTTTAGAGACAGGGTCTTGGTATGTTGCCCAGGCTGGTCTCAAACTCCTGGGCTCAAGTGATCCTCCCACCTCAGCCTCCCAAAGTGCCGGGATTACAGGTGTGAACCACTGTGCCCCACTAGATGTTTTAACATCTGGCTGCCACATGAATTACTGGATGGAGGTGGGCAGGGGGAGGGCAAGCAGGGAGACGGGGCTGGAGGCTGATGAAGGCTCATCCCTGGGTGTCACGTCCACTTTGGTCCTGGAAAGGATGGAGCTGGCATGGCAGGCTGGGTGGGGATGTGAGTGCTCCTTTTCCCTTACCAGAGTTGAGTAGCTTTTGGGAAGTCATTACAGGTATTACTTAACTACTTTCCAACCAAAAGGTATTCAGTTTTCCAAAAGTGGAAATGAACTATTTGTATAAATTAGGTAAAAAAAAAAAAAAAAGATTTTAAAGAAGGCTCACCGCAGCCTGTCCAGGACAGCCTCGCAGCGTGCCATTGTCTGTACCTGTGACTTTTGTGGCCCTAGTCATTGGCGTCAATTGCTTGGTGTATTTTACTATACTGGGTACTGAGTCTTTCTTATCAACCCCTCTTAGGAATTTGCAGTCTTTTAATTCTTTGATCCTTGGAAATGTCCCTCTGTTCCAAACCGAAACCATTCTGACGGCCCCTGAGATCATCCTTCATCCCAACACAAGCGAGATCGACAAAATGTGCTTCCATTGTGTCCGGAATTGCGTGGAGATCACTAAGGTAAGAGCAGAGGTGCCTGCATACTTGCTCAGATGGCGTCTCAGATTGCCTCTGCCTCCCAAAGAGCTGGGGCTGCAGGTGTGAGCCACTGCCCACGGCCCAAGACGGAATTCTTGACTTCCTGCCTTGTGACTTGGTCGTCCCCTAGTTTTCCCCACTTCAGGAGTTGGCACCAACATCAGCCCCATTGCTTGAGCCAGAAACTCATCCTTGTTCCGTTGCTCTCACCCAGCCATGCCCAGCCCGTCCGCAAGTCCTCCGAATGTACCTCCCATCTGTCCTCTTCTCTCCTGTCCCCGGTACCTTCTTATCCCAAGTGCCATCACCCCTCTCCTGGGCTCTGGCAGTGACATTCCTACAATCCATTCTCCACCACAGGTGGTCAGAATTGCCTTAAACAAACACAAACCAGTCCAGGTGCAGTGGCTCCCGCCTGTAATCTCAGCACCTTGGGAGGCTAAGGGAGGATTGCTGAAGCCCAGGAGTTCCAGACCCACCTGTGCAACATGGGGAGACCCCCGTCTCCACAGAAAACAAAATTAATCAGCTAGGCACGGTGGTGCACACCTGTGGTCCTAGCTACTCGGGAGGCTGAGGCAGGGGATTGCTTGAGCCCAGGAGTTCAAGGGTACAGTACGGTATGGTTACGCCACTGCGCTCCAGCCTGGGCAGCAGAGCAAGACCCTGTCTCTAAAACAGTAACGGTAACAACAACAACAATGTATCATTTCATGTCATCCCTGGGGTAAACTGCCCCCACCCACCCCGTGACTTAATTACACTTAGAACATAATCCAAATACCTTTGTGTGGCCTCTGAGGCCGCCTTGTTCCAGCCCCTGGCTGCCTTTCTGATCTCAGCCCTGCAAGGATTGTGCTTCATGGCGCTCCAGGCTGACTGGCTGCCTGATTGTACCTCCAGCAGGTACCACGAGCTCCTCACAAGGATTACTGTGGCTGTTCTTTCACCTGGAACATTCTGCCCACCCCGACCTTCTTGTCCTCTCTCTCCCGTCACCCCATCCCATCTTCTTCCTGCCAGGTACCACTCTCTGACCTTTTCTTGTTTTTCCCTTGCTTATTTACCTACTGATTCTATCAGGACACTAGAATGTCAGATCCACGGGAATACAGACATTGAGGGTTTTGTTCCCTTTAGACGTAGCTGGTTCTCAGTAAATGTTTGTTGAATGAACATCTGTTGGTAGCTAACCCAAAGTTTATGTCTTACCCCAAATGGGAAAATAGAGCCATCTTTGTAGGTATGGGACGTCACCCCCTCAGCACATTGGAACCTTTCTCATCACTTGGTTGGTTCAGCAAGTCAGACATGTTTCAGACATTTTTAGGGGCATAAAAATAAGTATAGAAATCAAAATAGGGAATTTCACTTCTCTGTACTTAGAAACTGATGATAAATGGTACATGTTTTATAATCCATGCTAAGACGTTTATGAAGCCTCTGTTATATACATTCTCTTATAGGTGCTATATCTCGTATGTGCTACGTATGTTTCCTTTGTAAGGGAAATAGCAATTTTTAAGGGGTAAATAAATAGGAAAGTTGGCCTGTAAAACATTATGAACATTAATCACAATAATTTCATGCCAACTTAACTTTCCTCCTTACTGATAGATGGATTTGGGGCTCTTGGGGAAGCCTATGTTGTTTTATCTTCATAGTTTTTTTCTTTTCAATGAAAAGAAGTTTTACTCTCTTAGATAATGTCAGGAATGTATTTCATTAAAAAGATCGCGGCCGGGCGCGGTGGCTCAAGCCTGTAATCCCAGCACTTTGGGAGGCCGAGGCGGGTGGATCACGAGGTCAACAGATCGAGACCATCCTGGTCAACATGGTGAAACCCCGTCTCTACTAAAAATACAAAAAATCAGCTGGGCATGGTGGCATGTGCCTGTAATCCCAGCTACTCGGGAGGCTGAGGCAGGAGAATTGCCTGAACCCAGGAGGCGGAGGTTGCGGTGAGCTGAGATCGTGCCATTGCACTCCAGCCTGGGTAACAAGAGTGAAACTCCGTCTCAAAAAAAAAAAAAAAAAAAAGATGGCAGCACATGAACCTGCATGGCTAGGCCACTTAATATGGTTTAACTGCAACGTCTCTTTGATCTTCAGGATTCCTATTTCATGGCAGAAAACATGAGCAAAAGTTTTAACTAGGTTCTGAATTTTGCCTCATCTATTAAGTGGAAATGATCATACTATTCACCTTCTAGTGCTGTTGGGAGGATTGAATTATATAACACATGCATACAGCTTAGTGTGGTGTTTGGCAGTCAGTGGCTCTGAATAAATATTAGCTATTAGTATTACTATTATTAGTAATGTTGGAAATAGACGTATTAGGTCAGTGCAAAAGTAACTGTGATTTTTACCATTAAAAGTATTGGCAAAGCTGCAATTACTTTTACACCAACCTAATAGTAGTGTTACTCCCATTTTATAGATGGTGAGACTACTGTTCAGAGAAGTAACGTGTAACACACCTCTGGTTTGCTGTTGTGACTCACGCTTGATTAAAAGATAAGAGAGCCTTAACTCTACAACACGGAGATGTCAAATTAGCAGATTTGTTCTGGGACATTAAGCAGTCCATTTGCCTGAATCTGTGTTTTTTCCTCTGTAAATAGGGAAATAAAGGCTTTTAAAAATTCATCCGTAGTGTAGTTGGCTTTGTTTCATAACAAGCCACTTCAAAACTTACTGGCTTCAAACAGTAATTGTTTAGATCTGGGTTCTATGTGCTGGGTTCTGCTGAGCTAGGCATGGTGGTGCATAGGTGTGTACCACCATGGTCTCGAGAACCATGCTGTCACGGTTTTGAGAGCGTGAGAGCAGGAGCCACAGGGCTTCTTGGAGCGTTGGTTTGAACTTGCCTAACACCATGTCTGCCCCTTTCCATTGGCCAAGGTAAGTCACAAGGCTTGCTCAGGAAGGGAAATAGGCTTCACCTCTTGATAAGAGGAACAAAGGATTGTGGTTATTTTTGCAATCTCAGTTTTTAATAATAAAGTGATTTTCTGTTACTGGCAAGACTTTTTGCTGAAAACTAATATGTATGTAGGAGGAAAAATAGATACGAAAACACTGTCTTTTCTCCTGATTCTTATTTTGCCAGCATTTTGTTCGTTGGATGAATGGCAGCTGCATAGAATGCCCCCCTCAGAAGGGTGAGGAAGAAGAAGCTGTTATAATAAGCTTCTACAATGATATTTCTCTGAACCCTCAGATCATTGAACAAGCTGTTATGATCCCCCAAAATGTCCACAGGATTCTGATTAATCTTATGAAGTATCTACAAAAATGGAAGCGGTATCGACCTCTCTGGAAATTGGACAAAGCTATTGTGATGGAGAAGTTTGCCGCCAAGAGACCTCCTTGTGTAGCCTACGATGAAAAGTTGCAGTTCTATTCCAAGATAACCTATGAAGTTACGCGCCACCCTTTAATTAAGGATGAGCATTGCATCAGACTTCAACTTGGGCCTCTGGCAAACACAGTGCAGGAAAATGCCAAGTCCTGGGTGATTTCGCTTGGAAAACTTCTCAATGAGTCAGCAAGAGAGGAGCTCTATAATCTCCATGAAGAGATGGAGGTACTTAATCGCTGTGTTTAATTGAAACTACTTTTCATGTAAATTGGGTCTCCATTTGCGCCATTACTGTTTTTTCTGGGTTTACTTAGTGTTCTTTGTATTTTCTGTTATAGCACCTGGCCAAAAACCTTAGGAAGATCCCCAGTACCCTTGAAGATCTCAAGTTTGTCCTTGCCACAATTGCAGAAATTAGAAGTAAATCTCTGGTCATGGAACTAAGATACAGGGACGTCCAGGAGCGATACCGCACCATGGCGATGTATAACCTCTTTGTAAGTCAACTTGTATTTTCTTATGCATTTAACAATTGGATTGACCCCTAACTACCCTTTCCAGAGATGCTTCTCAAGGATACTGCCATTGATTGGTTTTCAAATAAGTGACTTTAAGTAATACATTGTAAATGTAAAGCAATGCCATAGTTATTTAGAATAATGAAAATATAGAGATTGTTTTTCAGTCTTGTATGGCTCATGGCTCGAATGGATTGATCTGTAACTCTTCCTTTCTTCATTTTTTTTGTGTTAATTTCCTGTTTGTTTTTCTTTTTGCTCTCAAAATGACTTGGTTCCAATGAAGTGTTAATTTCCTTTAATGAATAAAGAGCTCTTGCAAAAATGATAAGAGTGAAAGATTTAAGATGATAAAATCAACTGGTGGAAGATAATTTCATTGGTCTTGCTTTGTTATTAAATTTGGGTTCTCAGGATCTTTCAAAGCCATGGATGAGTTTTAGGGGGTCTGGGTTCCCCCTGAAATGTATGGGAATTTTACATACTGCCCATTTTTCTGATGATGAAAGAATCTTGAGCTTTTGGCCCAGGGCTGCTGCTCAGCAAGGGTGTTTGAGAGCTCCACATCCTAACTGCGAGGCTGCGAGGGGCCTGGTGTTTGAAGAAGTCAAGCAACAGAAGTGCTGAAAGACAAACTTTATGCAAATGCTGACTTATTCATGCCAATTTGTTTCTTTTCTCTAGTTTGTATTTCTCCCTCAACCAGGTAGCTTCTTTTAGACTTTACTTTACTACCAGGGGAAATATTACATCACAGAAATAATAGAACTAAGGATTTTGCACTAAGTGTGCAATGGGTCACATACAAATAATGAACCGGAATGTCAAATTCCAACAACAACAACAAAACAGAAACAGCTGAGAGTTGATTGGGATTGCATTGATCCTGTAGATTAATTTCAGGCAAATGGACGTCCTGTAGTATTGAGTTTTCCTATCCATGAACATGTTCTCTCTCTCTCTCTCTATTTAGGTCTTTAATGTCTCCCCTTAAAGATTTATAATTTTCCCCATGGAGACCTTACCTATTTTTTGCCAGATTTATTCCTAAGTACTTGGTATTTTCAGATGCTCTTGTAATTGTTATCTTTGATATTTATTTTAATGTTTTTATTTTTTATTGTTATATAGAAAGACAATTGATATTTGCATTCTACTTTTTAATAATCAGTAATAATTAATTTTAATCATTTATCCATAGATTATTTTGGATTTTCAAGGCACACCATTATATAAACTGTGAATATTGACAGTTTCATTTCTTTTTAATTTTTAAATATTTTGTTTATTTTTCTTGCCTTATGACTCTCTCTAGGAATTCCTGTACAAGGTTAAATAAAAGGGGAGGTAGGAGAAATCCATGTCTTGTTCTTGATCTCAGAGGAAAAGCTTTTTGGCACTGTATCATTAAATATGGTAACTGGGCTGGGCGCGGTGGCTCAAGCCTGTAATCCCAGCACTGTGGGAGGCCGAGGCTGGTGGATCACGAGGTCGAGAGGTCGAGACCATCCTGGTCAACATGGTGAAACCCCGCCTCTACTAAAACTACAAAAAATTAGCTGGGCATGGTGGCGCGTGCCTGTAATCCCAGCTACTCAGGAGGCTGAGGCAGGAGAATTGCCTGAACCCGGGAGGCGGAGGTTGCGGTGAGCCGAGATCGTGCCATTGCACTCCAGCCTGGGTAACAAGAGCAAAACTCTGTCTCAAAAAAAAAAATAAATAAAAAATAAATAAATAAATAAATATGGTAACTGCTGGCTGGGCGCGGTGGCTCACGCCTGTAATCCCAGCACTTTGGGAGGCTGAGGCAGGTGGATCACGAGGTCAAGAGATTGAGACCATCCTGGTCAACATGGTGAAACCCTGTCTCTACTAAAAATACAAAACATTAGCTGGGCATGGTGGCGCGTGCCTGTAATCCCAGCTACTCAGGAGGCTGAGGCAGGAGAATTGCCTGAACCCAGGAGGCGGAGGTTGCGGTGAGCCGAGATCGCACCATTGCACTCCAGCCTGGGTAACAAGAGCAAAACTCCGTCTCAAAAAAAAAAAAAAAAAAATATGGTAACTGCTGTGTGATTTGTTAGAGGTACTCTAATACAATAGGGGAAATATACAGTTGTGTGTATTTAACGCAGTGGGGATATACTCTGAGAAATGTGTCAATGGGCAGTTCCATTATTGTGCAAACATCATGGAATGTACTTATAGAAATCTAGATGATACAGCGACACACCTAGGCCATGTGGTAGAAACTGTTGCTCATAGGCTACAAACCTGTATAGCATGTACTGTACTGAATACTGTAAGCAATGTAATATAATAGTAAGTATTCGTGTATCTAAACATCTAAATAGGCCGGGTGCAGTGGCTCACATCTGTAATCCCAGCACTTTGGAAGGCTGAGGCAGGTGGATCACGAGGTCAGGAGTTCAAGACCAGCCTGGCCAAGATGGTGAAACCCTGTGTCTACTAAAAATACAAAAATCAGCTGGGTGTGGTGGCAGGTGCCTGTAATCCCAGCTACTCAGGAGGCTGAGGCAGGAGAATCGCTTGAACCGGGGTGGCAGAGATTGCAGTGAGCTGAGATTGCACCATTGCACTCCAGCCTGGTGACAGAGTGAGACTCTCAAAAAAAAAAAAATATATATATATATATATACACACACACACACACACACACATATATATATATATATATATAAACATAGAAAAGGTATAGTGAAAATACAGTATTTATTACAATCCTGTGGGAATATTGTCATATATGCAATCCATTTTTGGCCCAAAAATGTTTCACTTTGGTGTTTGTCCCTGGTTCCTGACAGAAAGCTTCCAAAACACTTGTATTTCCTGAGTGATGGGGTCACAGGAACATCTTTTGTTATAACGGTGTTCTTTTTCTCTGGTTCCTGGCACACAGCATCTCAAGTCCTTGGACTCTCTGGAGTAATAAGAGTGTCTTTTGTATGCAAGTGAAATGACTGATGGCTTGGAGCCCCAGACAGCTTCAGGATGGGGGCTGGCTGCCAGAAAGATCAAGGCATAAATTATTTAGAGGTTTGGAACTTTCAGGCACCCATCCTCCCCACCCTTGGGGAGGGAAGAGGGGCTGGAGATTGGAGGTCAACAAAGGCCAGTGATCTAATTAGTTATGCCTGTGTAATGAAACCTCCCGAAACATCCCTAAATGATGGGATTTGAAGAGCTTCTGGGTTGTTGACCACACCAAGATGCTGGCAGAGTGGTGTGCTCAGAGAAGGCATGGAAGCTCCTTGCACCCCCCAAGCCCATACCTTGGCTTATGCATCTCTTTCATTTGGCTCTTCCTGAGTTGTGTCTTTTATAATAAATCAGTGATTGTAAGTAAAGTGTTCTTTACTTTACTTACGATCTGAGTTCTGCAAGCCATTTCAGCAAATGGTCAAACGTGAAGGAGACGTGTGAGGGAACTCCTGATTTTGTAGCCAAGTTGGACCAAAGTCTGTATACCTTGGGCACCCAATGCTTGCAACTGGCATCTGAAGTGAGGGCAGCCTTATGAGACTTACACATGCATGCATTTCTATTGAGTATGGGCCTAGACATGAAATTGCTGGGTTCTAGGAATCCACATGTTCAGCTTTACTAGATTCTGCTCATTTTCCAAGGTGAGGTACCCCTTTACATCCACATTGAATAAGAGTTTCAGTTGCTCCATATCCTTACAAACACTTAACTTATTGATCTTTTGGAAACGTCAACTTTGTTTTTTTTTTTTTTTTTTTTTTTTGAGACAGAATATTACTCCATCATCGTCTGGCCTCTGTTGTTTTGATTGAGGAGTTGACTGTTAGTCTTTTTTATTGCTCCCTTTCAAGGTAGTCTAGTCTAACTAGGTTTTTTTTTTGGTCTGCTTTTAAGTTTTTTTTCTGCCTTTGGTTTTCAGTGGTTGTAATATGATGTAGCTAGTTTCTTTTGTTTTGTTCTTCCTTTTTTTCCCTTATTGATATTTGTAGTACTTTAAAAATCTGCAGGCTGATGTCTTGACGTAGTTTTGGAAAATTAACAGTTTTTGCCTTATTCCCCCCAACCCCTGGTACTCCAATTCCACATATGTTGGACCTTCTGTACGATATCCCGTACACCTTACATTCCTTTCTGCCTTTTCTTTCTGTGGTTTATTCTAACACTTTGACCTAAACTTTAAGTTAATGAATTTTCTGTTCATTTGTGTCTGATTGGTTTTTCCTGGTTTCTTAACCAATTGTTTTAGCTTTGCTTTCAGGTGCTGTCATTATCCATTTTAGAATTTCCATTTTAAAAACAAATTCCTGTGCTCTACCAAATTCTCAATTTTGTTTTGTCTTTTGTTTCCTCTACTCTATTAAAAAATATTTTAAAGTATGTGTCTTGTAACTCTGTTGTGATGTGTTTATGTTGTCTGTGAATTTCTTGGTTTCATTTAAGTTCTTTTGCATCTTTATATGGCCAGCATTTCAAATTGAGTTCTTAACAGCATATATGATAAATTGGAGAGAGAGGATTGGAGGCTCTGAATGATGTTATATTTCATCGGAGGAGATTTATTTTTGCTTCTAACAGACACCACAACTGGGTACATTAGCAAGCTAAGCTAACCTTATTCTAATCAGAGATTAAGTTGATTTGAAGCTGGGCTTTAGTTTATGAAGGGCTTATCTTTCTGTAATATCTCTAACGCTTTATTTTTAAAAATGATTTTATACTGATTTTATTTTAGTTATAAAATTTGACTTTTAATATTTCATTTCATTTTATTTTATTTTTTGAGACAGAGTCTTGCTCTGTCACCTAGGTTGGAGTGCAGTGGTGCAATTTCAGCTTACTGCAACCTCCACCTCCTGGGTTCAAGCGATTCTTCCACCTCAGCCTCCTGAGTAACTGAAACTACAGGCGCCTGCCACCATGCCTGGCTAATTTTTTGTATTTTTAGTAGAGAAGGGATTTCAGCATGTTGTCCAGGCTGGTCTTGAACTCCTACAGCCTCCTAACCTCAGGTGATCCTGAGCTCAGGAGTTCAAGCGATTCTTCCACCTCAGCCTCCTGAGGTTAGGAGAGGTAAGTGCTGGGCTTACAAGCATGAGCCACCATGTCAGGCCTTAATATTTCAATCAGCTTTTGAGTTGGTTTGAATTATCTAACCTCCTCTCGCCTCATCCTCCCAAAGTGCTGAGATTACAGGTGTGAGCCACTGTGCCCAGCCCAATATTTCTTTTTAAAAATTCTTTTTCTTTTTATATTTACAGAGATATAGTCTCACTGTGTTGCCCAGGCTGGTTTTGAACTCCTGAGCTCAAGTGATCCTCCCACCTCAGGCCCCCAAAGTGCTGGGATTACAGGCCACCGTGTCAGACCTTAGTATTTCAATCAGCTTTTGAGTTGGTTTGAATTACCTAGCCTCCTGTTGCCAGAAGCAGAAGTCCCTGGGAAGTTACTTTGACCATAAGTTTCAATTCCAAATTGCTGATGATTTATTGTTTATTCTGTTTTTTTGTTTCTCCTAATTAGCCTCCTGATGAAGAGAAAGAACTGGTTGATAAGATTGAGAGCACGTGGTCCAATCTGTTTAATGATTCAGTGAATGTGGAGCATGCTCTTGGGGACATAAAGAGAACTTTCACAGAGGTACCTTTTAAATTTCACTTCCCGAGTAACGACATTGAAAAATGTATTTGGGCTAAACTAACAAAACCTCGTGTTTCTCAGATTACCCGAGGTGACATAATGAACTACAGAGTTCAGATAGAGGAGTTTGCAAAGCGTTTTTACAGTGAAGGCCCTGGTTCTGTTGGCGATGACCTTGATAAAGGTAAGAAGGTTCATGTTGGTCTTACTGAGTGATTTGTGTATCAAATGTTTGAATATGTTTTGCTTAAGAATTCTATGGAAAGTGATTATTGTGCCATGATTTGAATATTTATTTCTCCCTGAAATACTTTTCCCTGGGGTCATTTTAGTGGTTACGTGTCTGAAAAGCCGGACTAATGCGACTCATTGGTAGTTGAGTGCCTGCTATCTGAAGGCATTGAGAAAAGTGCCAGGGAGCAGTGTCCACTCCTGCAGGGGTCCAGAGGCTTCGGCTGCAGCTCAGAAATCTTAAACAGCAGTGCCGGCCTTGGATAAGCACATGCGGTGTCTTATCCACCCAACTTCCTCTCTAACTCCCATCGTACTTATTCTTTGAATTCAGATCCTAGACCACTTCACGTTTGTCCCCTGCCCTTCACATCACATAGGCTAAAACGGTGGCAAGATAAAAATACTAAAATTCTCTTTTTTTTTTTTTTGGGACAGAATCTCTGTCACCCAGGCTGAAGTGCAGTGGCACAATTTCAGCTCACTGCAACCTCTACCTCCATGGTTTAAGTGATTCTCCTGCCTCAGCCCCCTGCATAGCTGAGACTACAGGTGCATGCCACCATGCCTGGCTAATTTTTGTATTTTAATTTTAATTTTATTATTATTATTTTTTGGAGACAGAGTTTCACTCTTGTTGCCCATGCTGGAGTGCATGGTGCAATCTCGACTCACCGCAATCTCCGCCTCCCAGGCTCAAGCGGTTCTCCTGCCTCAGCCTCCCGAGTAGCTGAGATTACAGGTGTGTGCCACCCTGCCTGACTAATTTTTTGTATTTTTAGTAGAGACAGAGTTTCTCCATGTTGGTCAGGCTGGTCTCGAACTCCCGACCTCAGGTGATCTGCCCACCAGGACTCCCAAAGTGCTGGGATTACAGGCGTGAGCCACTGTGCCCAGCCAGTTTTTGTATTTTTAATGGAGATGGGGTTTCACCATGTTGTCCAGGCTGGTCTCAAACTTCTGACCTCAAGTGATCCTCCCATCTTAGCCTCCCAAAGTGCTGGGATTACAGGCTTGAGCCACTGAGCCTGGTCCTAAAGTTCTTATTCTAAAGCGAATTTGGTAAATACTATGAGACAAACCAAATATCTATATCTAGGGCTTCCAAAGAAACAGGTGAGATCTATTTAAGGATGCTGAGAAAAGGTATCTGGAAAATGTGTCATTTGGGTAGATGAGTGTGAGCAGGGATGTAGTGACATAGAGTGGTAGTGGCCACTGGAATTGGGGGAGAAGCGTAGAACTGGGTAGGTAGAGTGGTAGGGGAGTTATCAGTAGGATGATGATATTCTCAAGGGAGCAGCAAAGGATGCTGATGTTGACTGCACTATAGACGGGCTCAGACTCCTTTAAAATAGCCTCATTTCTTGAATGACCTGGGTGTGAGAATTAGACAGTTTTCTCACTGGAGGAGACTGCAGATGTCATTGGTCTTTTGTTTTTAGTCAGAATAATGCCATAATTCTAAATTTGTCTTCCCTCATCCTTATGAGGATGAATTATAATTGAGGTACATTATGCGTGATTTCTTATTCAATTTTGTATACCTTAAAATTGTATTTATTCATTTATCGATGTGTTTATTTACTAGGAATAGAGCTTTTAGGTGTTTTTGAAAGAGAACTGGCAAGGCATGAAAAGAGCCGTCAGGAATTGGCTAACGCCGAGAAACTTTTTGATCTTCCTATTACGATGTACCCAGAGCTGCTGAAAGTGCAGAAGGAAATGACCGGGCTCAGGATGATTTATGAGCTCTACGAAGGACTGAAGGTGAGCCTCTCCCTGAAAGCGAAGGCCTCAAGCTCACTGAAAGGGATGGAGCAATGACTTAGGCCCCACAGACTTTGATGCCACTGTAATAATGAGCTTGGGTCTGATTTTGTGGAAACGTTTATTTTGGCTGCAGGAAGAGGAATGGGGCGTGATTACTCATGGGTACAGGGTTTCCATTTAGGTTGTTGAAAAAGTTCTGGAAATAGGTGGGCGTGGTGGCTGATGCCTATAGTCCCAGCACTTTGAGAGGCCGAGGCCGGCGGATCACCTGAGGTCAGGAGTTCAAGACCAGTGTGGCCCATGTGGTGAAACCCCATCTCTACTAAAAATACAAGTAAAAATTAGTGGGATGTGGTGGTGGGCACCCGTAATCCCAGCTGCTTGGGAGGCTGAGACAGGAAACTCACTTGAACCTGGGAGGCGGAGTTTGCAGTGAGCCAAGATCAAGCCGTCGCACTCCAACCTGGGTGACAAGAGTGAAAACTCCATCTTAAAAAAAAAGAAAAAAAAAAGTCTGGAAGTAGACATTGGTGGTGGTTACCTGACATTGTGAAAGTACTTGATACTGCAGAATGGTGTATTTTATTTTTATTTTTGAGACGGGGTCTCACTCTACCACCCAAGCTGGCGTGCAGTGGTATGATCATAGCCCACTGCAGGCTCAAACTCCTGGGCTCAAGTGATCCCCCTGCCTCAGCCTCTGAAGCAGCTTGGACTACAGAGGTGCACCACCACACCTGGCTAGTCTTTTTTTATTTTTAGTAGAGTCAAGGTCTTGCTACGTTGCCCAGGCTGGTCTGAACTCCTGAGTTCAAGCGATCCTCTGCCTTGGCCTCCCAAAGTGCTGGGATTACAGGTGTCAGCCACTGCACCCAGCCTGGAATTATATATTTTAAAATAGTTAAAATGACAAATTTTATTTTTTATGTCTTTTACCATCATCATAGAAAGGAAAACTCTCTTTGGAGGTCAAAGTCTTGGTTAAGGTGTGGGGTAAACTGTTTAGTTGCAAGCGGAGATTAAAAGTTGCAAATGTCAGCCAGGTGCAGTGGCTCATGCTTGTAATTCCAGCACTTTGGGAGGCTGAGGTGGGCAGATTACATGAGGCCAGCAGTTTGAGACTAGCCTGGGCAACAAGGTGAAACCCTGTCTCTACTAAAAAAAACAAAAACAGGTCCAGGGACAGTGGCTCACACCTGTAATCCCAGCACTTTGGGAGGCCAAGACAGGTGGATCACTTGAGGCCAGGAGTTTGAGATCGGCCTGGCCAACATGGGCAAACTCTATCTCTACTAAAAAATACAAAAATTATCCCGGTACAGTGTCACATGCCTGTGATCTCAGCTACGCCAGAGGCTGAGGCACAAGAATCGCTTCAACCCGGGAGGCGGAGGTTGGACTGAATTGAGGTTGCACCACTGCCAGCCTAGGTGACAGAGTGAGACTCTGTCTTAAAAAAATAAAAAATAAAAGTTGCAAATGTCATGCCATTTGGGTGCCTCTCATTGGTATATGTTTCCCATGCAAATTCATGCTATTCATTCATTCATTCATCCATCCATCCATCCATTCATCTGTTGGCTTAGTTCTTTATAGCTCAGTGCTGTGCTGGTTGGAGTGTGGGGTCCAGAAAAGGAGTCATGTCTGCCCTGACTATGTAGTCTGGGTTCTTGAGAAATAATCACTAGGAGATATATGTATCTATACCCATATCTGTCTATATCTAATCTGTATCTATACCTAATTTATATTCATATCTCTACCTCTACCTATACCTAATCTCTATATATCTAACTTATGTCTATATATCTACCACTGTGCCTGTATCTAATCTATATATATCTAATGTATATATATAGTGCTGCTAAAGAGGTGGCCTGTGAGTGAGGCTCTGAACCAGGACAGGCTTTTGCCTGGTGCAGAACAAGGCTTTCCAGGCAGAGGGTTGGGCAGGAGCAGGCACAGGAGATGTGAAGTTGTGTCATGCGTCCATAACCTTTCAACCTGATGATGGCTTTACCGGCCACAGACGCACCAGAAAATGGGGTTGGGATGTGCGAAGTCTATACCTGTATACCTTTACCTATACCTAGTCTGTCTATATCTGTAGCAAATCTATATTTATCTATATCTGAACTGTATATGTATTTCTAATCGATATCTATCTAATCTATATGTAATCATGTCTAATCTATGATATATCTAACCTATATATATAAATTTATATACCTAAACTGTATATTCAATCTATATATCTCTATACCTGTATCTGTGAGATTTATGATGAGGAATTGACTTTTGTGATTATGGAGGCTGAGAAGTCCCATGATCTGCAGTTGGCAAGCTGGAGACCCAGGAGAGCTGATGGTGTAGGTTCTAGTCTGAGTCCCAGTCCGAATGCAGGAGAACACTGAGGTCCCAGCTGGAGGACAATCAGGGACAGAGAGTGAATTCCGCCTTCCTCAGCCTTTGGTTCTCTTCAGGCCTTCAGTGGATTGGGTGAGGCCATCCACGCTGGGGAGAGCCACCTGCTTTACTCAGCCCCTGGTGCAAACAGTCATCTTACTCAGTGTCTCTCACAGATACACCCAGGGTCATGTGACCCTAGCTCAGTGGCCAGCATCAACTGGACACACAAGATTTGCCTTTGCACTGATATGTGAACAAGTAACCAGGCCACCAGGATGTGTGCTGGAAATGAGATGGACAGGGTCCCCAGATTGAAGACAAGGAAGGCGAGTGGCCGCCGGCCCAGGGAGTGCCGCTAAAGAGGTGGCCTGTGAGTGAGGCTCTGAACCAGAACAGCCTTTGCCTGGTGCAGAACAAGGCTTTCCAGGCAGAGGGTTGGGCAGGAGCAGAGACAGGAGATGTGAAGTTGTTGTGTCATGCGTCCATAACCTTTCATCCTGACTGGTGGCTTTATCTGCCACAGACGCACCAGAAAATGGGTTTGGGATGTGTGAAGTGGCCGGTGGAGCTGGAGCTGTCGGAAGGGACTCTGGGGGCAGCGGGAGGTGGGGGGGGTGGAGGGATTACAGGCAGGGGGTCCTGCCCCAGTGCTGGCAGAAGGGATGGCAGCTTGCATTTTAGGACAATTAAAGAGGGAATAGAGAGGAGAGAAGATTCCAGAGACGGGATGGAAAGTGATGAGACTTGGTGATTGATTCGATGTGTGCACCATGCAAGAAATTCAGAAAGTAGAAAACATACCCTCAGGTTTTAAAAGAAAAGGTATCATGAGAACTGAGAACAGCCATGTGTATGTCAAAATAGGTGGTTTTTTAATTTGTCATTTTTCTGGGTTCACAGTAAGTGTCTATATGGGATACATGATATGTTTTGACACAGGCATGCAATGTGTAATGAACACTTCACAGAGAATGGGTGTCATCCCCTCAAGCTTTCATCCTTTGTGTTAGAAACAATCCAATTATACTCTTTTAGTTATTTAAAAATATACAATTAAGTTATTGACTATCATCTCCCTGCCGTGCTATCAAATACTAGGTCTTGTTTATTCTATTTTTTTTTTTCTGCAGCAAAATAAGTGTTTTTTAAAATCCAATATTAAGACATAGCTTGGTTCCCCCACCCACTGTCTGGTCTGTGGACATTTCGTCACCTAGAGGGACTTCCACTCTTTCATAGCAATTGCTTCTCAAAGCTGTGTGTTGAGAAGAGTCTCAGGGACACACTGGGTGGCTCCTGGGAGGCCTGGCAGGACACTGGTCATAATCCCAGGATATCCTGGGGTGGCAGCGGTACCAGTGGGGGGCATGGGTGGATTCTGGATCTGGTTTGCAGGTAGAGTCAGGGACCTCCTGGAGCTGTGGACATGGGATGTGCGAGCAGGAGAACAAGGAAGACTCCAAGGTTTTGGCCTGAGTAGCCAGAAGGGTGGAGTCACTCTTAAGGGAAGCTCCAGGAAGAGAAGGTTTGGGGACAGTGGCGGACATCAGGAATTCAGTGCAAGGTGTTGTCTGCTGGAGGTCCCTGTGGCGATGTCAAGGAAGCACTTGGATGTATTTGTCTGGAGCTCAGAGAAGAGCTAGAAGTGTGAATTGGGAGTGTCTAGGTGTGGACCGTACTGAGCCACCAGTCCAGATGGGCTCACCTAGTGCCTTCGTTTCCTGGGGCTTCCAGAACAAATGATTACGAATGCAGACCGGGAAGCTGGGGTGGGGGTGCTGAAAACAACAGAAATGCATCTCCTCCCAGTTCTGGAGGCCAGGAGTGCAAAATCAAGGTGTCTGCAGGGCCATGCCCACACCCTGGACGTTGTAGGAGAGGCTCCTTCTTGCCTCTTCCAGTGCCTGGTGGCTTCTGGCTATCCTCAGCGTTCCGTGGCTTGCAGCTGCATCGCTCCTGTCTCTGCCTCCCTTGTCACAAGGCTGTCTTCCCTCTGTGCCTCTCTGCCTGTTTTCTAATGTGGGCACCATCATTGGATTTAGGGCCCACTCTAATCCTGTATGACCTCATCCGAACTACATCTGCAAAGACTCTCTTTCCAAGTAAGGCTTCATTCTGAGGTTCTGGGTGGATGTGCATTTTCAGGGGACGGTATTCAGCCAGGAGTGGGGTGGGTGGAGGAGAGGAGCGAGGGCTGAGCTTGGGTCTCTCCAGCATTAAATACCACAGGAAGATGTCTTTAAAAAGGAAAGACGAGGAGAGGGAGGAGTGGCCTAGGTGGTAGGAGAACAAACAGCTGAGTGTGATGTCGTGTAGGCCAAGTGAGAAACGTGTTTCTAGGAGGTAGGACTGGCCAACTGCACCAGATGCTGCTGATAGACCAGGGGAGAAGAGGATGGAGGGTGGACCCCAGCACTGCATGTCATGGAGGCCACTGGGGACTGCCACAAGAAGGTATCAATGGAGTGCGGCCGTGGAAGCCTACATGGAGTGAGTCCACGGTGTTTACCTGAGGGAAGAGAAAGCATGATCCTTGCAGAGACTTCTGTGTGAACGCTTATACACAGCATTGTTGGTAATAGCACAATACTAGAAACACCCCAAATGCCCATTAAGCGACTGGATAAACAAGCTGTGGCTCATCCACACCATGGAATACTACTCAGCAAGGTAGAGGATCGAACCAGTTATCAGCACATCCACGCAACAACATGGGCGACCCTCAGAATCGTCATGCTGAGCGAAAGAAGCCAGATACAGAGGAGTGCAGATTGTGTGATTCCATTCATAGAAAAACCTGGAAAAGGCAAATGATTTTATGTGGCAGATCCGTGGTTAACTGGGGGTAGGGACAGGAGGAGAGGGATGGGAGGGTTGATTAGACAGGGGAATAAGGGGGCTTTTGAGGGTGATGAATGAGTTCACTATCTTCATCATGGTGGTGCTTTCACAGGCATGCACATCTGTCAAAACTTTGCAGAGTTTTGTGTACCTTTAGTTATAGACAGCTTATTAGATACAAGTTAATCCTCAATAAAGCTGTTAGAAAAACAGACCAGGTATGGTGGCTCAGGCCTGTAATCCCAACACTTTTGGAGGCTAAGGCAGGAGGATTGCTTGAACCCAGGAGTTTGAGGCCAGCCTGGGCAACCTAGCAAGAACCCCTGTCTCTGCAAAATAAAATAAAAAATGTCCAGGCCTGGTAATGTGTGTCTGTAGTCTCAGCTACTCAGGAGGCTGAGATGGGAGGATCACTTGAGGCCAGGAGATTGAGACTGCAGTGAGCTGTGATCACAACATTGCATTATAGCCTGGGTGGCAGTGAGACCCGATTTTTTTTTTTAAAGTAATTTTTATGTTAAATCTCAGGAAAATATAACACAGAAAATCTCTTTATAGTCATCAAGTAGGAACATGTTTTATTCTCCCTTCTTAGCGTCAGCCTGATGGTTTGTAGACAGATTCTTGGATTAGTGATCTAAAGTGTAAGTATTTTGTAACCTCAGCCTTGTATCAGGAAAAAGAAGCAAGTTATGACAACCCCTGAATGAAGTACGCCTTTTAAGACCCAAGCAACACCCTGATTTAAAAAAAAAAACACCTGTTACTTTCCACCTCCACTTTTGTCTTTAGAAAAGGAAGATGTATTTCTGGATCCCACACATCCTCAGATATGGCATTATTTTTGAAAAGCTTACAAAAAGTGGGATTCTTTTCTTGTTGTTTTAGATCCTTCTAGTCAACCCCTCGTTTGTGAATTTCAGATAGTTGTAGATCGATGGGAAATAATTTAAAATATCTGAATGTGACTCAGAGTCAAGAACTTGCCCCCCTTGTCACGTTTCCAAAGGGGTCTTGTTGATGGAGCTGTTTCTTGCACGTTTCCAGGCTGCAAAAGAGGAATGGTCTCAGACCCTTTGGATCAACCTGAATGTGCAGTTTCTCCAGGAAGGAATTGAAGGTTTTCTCAGGGCTCTCAGAAAGCTACCTCGGCCAGTCCGTGGCTTATCAGTGGCCTACTACTTGGAAGCAAAAATGAAGGCATTCAAAGACTCGATTCCTTTACTTCTTGACTTGAAACACGAGGCACTAAGAGACAGGTTTGTTTTGTGTGCTGTCCGGGATGGGAAAGTGTGGGAGGAGCTTTTAGTTAAAATTGTTTCCTTCAGTGCATTATCTTTGCTTAGGTCTGATGAAGAAGCGTAAGATTCCAGCAGTGCCACAGGGCTATATGTAGGCACAACACGGTTCTGTAATGTTGTTTCTATGTAAAGTGTCTATACAACTGTCAACCACAGAGTCTTTCAAAACCAAGAACCCAACAGGTGTGAAGTGGCATTTTCAGTTGCTTTTCTCGAAAATTTAAAAAAATATAGTAAGTGGCCTAGACCAGCCCTCTCCAGCAGACATTGAAAGGGACTCACATATGTAATTTACAGTTTTTTAGCCACTACAGTAAAAGAGTAAAAGAAAACAGGTGAAATTAATTTTAAGTGTATTTAATTAACTCAATATCCCAAACATTATTTCAATATGTAATCACATAAAGCATTTATTTATGAGATATTTTACATTCTTCTTAAAAAGTTCGTCAAAATACGATGTGTATTTTCTACCAATAGCCTATTTCAACCTGGACTTGCCCCATTTCGAGTGCTCAGTAGCCACGCATGGCTCGTGGTTGCCTTACTGATGGCATAGCCAGCCCTGTGGGTAGGACAGAGAAGGCTTCTATGTGTGGGTCTGTGGTCATTTGGTGATGGTGCCACACAGACACGAATTAGGAGTTCCAGTCCTGATTTGTGAGTTACGCTCCTCCTGGCGTGTTCCGCTGTTCCTCTGTCACGTTTTTCAAAGTGTGGTCATCTGGTCATGCTGTGACATCAAATGACGTCATTTTCCTTAGTGAGAAAGTCATCCCTTCTTTGGTTCCCCTCCCACCCTTGAGTTCACATTGAGAAAGTCTCTTCCAAGTGCTGGCTTGTCGTCAACACCTGTTACACCTGTCTCTCCCTCTCGGCAAGGAGCAGGCAGCCCTCAGGGTCAGGTGCTGTGGCTCCCCAGCCCTCCCTTCACTGTCTGCTGGCCTACCTGAAGCACTCACCTTTACCTTTGCAGACTTCAGTTCCCTCATCTGTAAAACTAGGTAGAAATAGGCATTTTTTAGCTAAGCTTCCCAGTTTTATAATCCCATAACCCAGCGTTTCAAACTTTGGTCACGTGTCATTTTTGTCATATCTGAGTATCATCTATGCTGCCATGGCTTTGTATTTTTCTTTCTATCAGTCTATTTCTTTTTTACAGAAATGAATATTATTCTAAAAAGAAACTGACACCACCACTGTAAAGAGAAAATCAAAAGCTCTTGCCAGAAATGGAAAGTAGTTATATAGATACACACACACATACATAAAGAGCTAAAAACAGTCAGCTGTCTCTGAGCCAGAGGCCTTTGCTCTAAGAAAGGTGAATGACGGTGGAGAAGGTCATTCACCTTTCTTAGAGCAAAAAATTAAAGAATTAAAGAAAGAGGAAAGAAATATGAAAGGTGGCTCGCCAGTCACAACAGGTTTATTTTAGAGAAAACAGACGTGAGAGGTTTATTTTCGAGAAAACAGGCTAAGAGTTTTTAAGGATTCAGGGTGTGTGTCTATCAAAGGCTTGGACTGCTGCTGTGCCTCTTTGCTGTGCGTATCTAGGAGGGAGAGATGTGCGTCTGTTCCCACAGCGTTCTGCAGCTGCAGGCATGCCCGACCAGTCTGCTTTTAGCTTCCCTATCTTAGCGCACCTGAAGGGAAAGGAATGTGCTTATTAAGGCCCATTGTTTTCCTGGGGCCCAGTGTATGAGGGTGAAGTTTGGCAGTTACCCCAGAGACTTCCTCCCCTCCTCCCTCTGTGCCTGAGCTGTCTTATCTGTGTTTTACTGTCTGCTCTTTCTGGCGGCTGGTGGCTAGAACTGAACGTGGTGGTGTTTGCTGGGGGTGACGGATGCTCCTGCTCTGTCACACAGAGGCACCACCAGGAGACTTTCCTTTCCGTGTAATTTAATGCAATTAAGAGGACTGGGGAGGAACTGGAGAGGGAATCACTCTGTCCCTGTGGGTCAGGGCTGTGTCGTGTTGAGTGTGGACCTCATAACCCACCACCAGGGTTATGTCATGGACGGGCCCCAGGCCTGCTTTGCCCACATGCTGTCCATCAGTTGCTGTGATACGGCTGTTGTGAAACAGAAAGATTTATTTGCAAGGCTGCCAAGCAAGGAGGCAGGTGAGCACCCTCAAATCTGCCTTCCCAAAGATAAAGCTTAGGGATGTTTAGGGGTTAGGGGAGTGGGGTGCTTTAAGTTGCGGGGGAAGGTGATTGGTGGTGGGAAAAAGGAAGTAACAGGCTCATTCTGAGCAGGCGGAGTTAGGGTTCATGGCATTTCACAGGACATAGGTACAGAAAATGGTGGCGCCAGCATGGCCGGAGGGTGGAGTTTTTGGCCCTCCAATGTCAAAAGGCCACCTTTGGGGCATTGGCACAGGCCAGGTGAAAGGTCGGTGGTATCTACCGGTTTGAACTGGACAGAGGAGTTGGCCCAAGCTCCTAAAAAACAACCCAAGTGACCATCGCCATAGTGATATGTGGATGTTATCCGTGAATAGCCAGTGAAGGTTAAGTCTCAGCATTCGGTGGTGAGGCCTTCAGCTTCGTGGGAAAAAATAACAAAAAGCAAGTGACCGTAAGCCACAGGGCAGGCAGACCTGATGACACTTACTCCTCAGTTTCAGTTCTGACCCTCCTTCCTGTCAGTGCTGTGCTAGGCCGGGGGGTACAGAGACCAGTGAACCAGTACGGCCTCCTTTCTGACCATTTCCATGGCACCGTGTGTGTGTGTGTGTGTGTGTGTGTGTTTACAACAACACTCTGTGATTCAACACTTGCTGCTTACATGCTGGGTACATGGCATTCTGCTGTCTAGCGCCACACTTAGCTGCCTTACTCATACCCATTCCGTACACACAGAACCAAAACATGGGTACATTCACAGGCCAAATGCAGACGTTAAAAGACGGCCAGTCGGTGAGGAGCAGAGCTGCCCTGTTGTGTCTGTGTGCGCAGAAGTCTGCCCCGCCCGTCCCGTCTGAATGGCCGCTTCGTGCCTCCTCTTTCATGCTGCGGTTTTCTGGTAGTACTCAACACCTTCTGTAATTATTTAATTTATACATTTGTTTATTGTTTGTTGATTGTCTCCCCAAGCAGGTGGCAGGTTCCCTGAAGCTAGGGACCTTCTCCTTGGTAACTCTGTGCCCCAGCCCGCTGCCTGGCACGGAGTCAGCACTGAAATATTTGTTGAATGCATGAGCGCTCATAATTTACATGAGGCTTTCAAAAAGGCTGAGTGAGTCTCCGGAGGCTGAGCTCATTGGTTGAGAGACTATGACAGAAGCAGTTTCCAAGAATTAAAAGTTGCACGTTTTATAAGATGGCCGTGCAGACTAGCGTGTGTATATATATATATAGTATTTTGCGAGATGTTGTTTTCAGGTTTGACTCCGGAGGCCAGTGGGATTTGGAGAACTTTGGGAATATATTTTCAGTGATGCCCTCCTATTTTAGAATTTCATTACAAGAAGTTTACGAAAATGAGATTCATGCTGTGATTTAAATGGGAATAACTGAATTCCTCACTAACTCCGGTAAGCTTAAAGATTTAAATGCTTATGCTCTTTCAGGCATTGGAAAGAACTTATGGAGAAAACTTCTGTCTTTTTTGAAATGACCGAAACCTTCACCTTGGAAAATATGTTTGCTATGGAACTGCACAAACATACAGAAGTTCTCAATGAGATTGTCACTGCTGCTGTCAAGGAGGTCGCCATTGAGAAGGTTAGACTTCAGTTAAAAGCAGTTTTTAAAGAACAACCTTTTTTTAAATCAAAGAGAAAATAGCGAGACCTCATCTCTCCTAAAAAAAAAAATTAGCTGTATGTAGTGGCATGCCTTTAGTCCCAGCTACTTGGGAGGCTGAAGTGGGAGGATCACTTGAACCTGGAAGGTGGGGGCTGCAGTGACCATGATCGCGCCATTGCACTCCAGCCGGGGTAACAGAGTGAGGCCCTGTCTCAAAGAACAAAAGCAAACAAACAAAAAAGAGAACACATGTTTACTCTAATACATGATGTACTTCCGTAATAAAGAAGTATTTGTTGGCTAGGCGTAGTGGCTCATGCCTGTAATCCTGGTGAAACCTCATCTCTACTAAAAATACAAAAAATTAGCTGGGCAGGGTGGCGCACACCTGTAGTCCCAGCTACTTGGGAGGCTGAGGAGAGAATCGTTGGACCCGGGAGGCGGACGTTGCAGTGAGCCAAGATTGTACCACTGCACTCCAGCCTGGGCAACAGAGCAGGACTCTGTCTCAAAAAAAAAATTGTTTTATTGTTCCTCATTATAGTTTCGTTTTCCATTGTTTAAAACATTTTATTATTATTTTTTCTTATATATTTATTTTGCCATTGATTTTTTTAGATAGCAGTACTGTAATAGATGTTCATGTTAGAAAATTTAAAAAAAATTTATGATCTCACCCCCTGAAAATAATTATTAACTTTTTAATGTATTTCTTTCCCTACTTAAAAATGTATGCACACAGATGTACACATATACATATACACATACTCATATATGTGCACATATGCCTGTGCATGTGTATGCACGAACATACACAGCTACACACATACGCATACCCCCATACACACATATGCACATACATGTATACAGTCACGTGTCACCTAATGACGGGATACCTTCTGAGAAATGTGTCCTGAGTTGATTGGTGATTGTGCAAACAAACCTAACTGGGCTGACTGCTGCACACCCAGGCTATGGGGTACAGCCTGTTGCTCTAGACTGCGAGCCTGGACAGTGAGTGACTATACTGAGTACTGTCAGCCAAGGTAACTGAATAGTACGTATGTATCTAAACGTAGAAAAGGTGCAGTCAGAATACGGTCTCATAGTCCTATGGGACTACCATTGTATACCAGGTTCATCGCTGACTGAAACATCCTTATGCAGCACATGACTGTGCATAGTATACCACACATGTGTATACACATGTATATACATATAAACACACATGCATGTAAACACAATGTATACATACAATGTGCACACAGTGTACCTAACATACACATAACGTGTATACATGTGTATATATGCACAGTGTACACACAGTGTACCTAATGTATACATGTACACACAATGTACACTATGTATTCATATACACACGTACACACAATGTACACTATGTATTTGTATGCATACAATGTACACACAGTATACCTAATGTATATATGTACACACAATGTATATTATTCATATACATACAATGTACACACAGTGTACGTAATATATACACATACATACAGTGTACACAATGTATTTGTATACACACAATGTACACACAGTTTACTTAAGATATACATGTATGTATAATATACATGATATATTAATATACACACAATGTACACACAGGGTACTTAATATACACACATACACATAATGTATATACATGTGTATGTATGCATACAGTATACACACAGTGTAACTAATATGCATGCATACATACAATGTACATACATATATACATATACACACAATGTACACACAATGTACCTAGTATACACATGTACACATAATATACACATACGTACACGCAGTGTACACAATATACCAAACATAAACTTAATATACATACAATCTACATACATACATATGTATACACATATACATATACATATGTATCAATACAGATTTTTTTGTTTTGAGATGGGGTCTCCCTACGTTGCCAAGGCTGGTCATGAACTCCTGGTCTCAAGCAATCCACTTGCCTTGACCCCCTAAGGTGTTAGGATTACAGGCGTGAGCCACCACACCCAGCCTCAATACAGGTTGTTTTGAATATGGAATCATAAGAGGCCTATCATTTTGTAATTTGGTTTTCTAGACAGTAAAGTAAGCACAGGGGCAGGATCCCATAACTGTGCAGACTCCGGGAGCAGACTGTGGGGTTTAGACCCTGTTTCTGGGCTCGGTAACTGAGCTTCATGTTTCTCGAGCCTCAGTTGCCATCTCTGTAAAATGTGGGTGATAATAATCCCTACCACAATACTTTGAAGTATTTGCTTCGAGGACTGAATGACATCGCGTATGTGACATGCTTACCTGCTACATAGCAAATGCTTAATGAATGACTGTTACGACCATGGCAGAATCCCGACTTTTCAGGAAACAGACCCAGGACTCCGATTGCGTTGTTGGCCGGAAGCAAGCGAAGGAAGGCGTGTGGGGCTGGGGCTTGCTCCTCACAGCTCGTGCGCCTGAATCATTCTTATCATTGTTTTAAATTCCTGACCAGGCTGTGAAGGAAATCCTAGACACTTGGGAAAACATGAAATTCACCGTAGTCAAGTATCACAAAGGCACCCAGGAGCGGGGCTACATCCTGGGTTCCGTTGATGAAATTATCCAGTCTCTTGATGACAACACTTTCAACCTGCAGAGCATCTCGGGAAGCAGATTTGTGGGACCTTTTCTGCAAACTGTGCACAAATGGGAAAAAACGCTTTCTCTAATAGGGGAAGTCATTGAGGTGAGAGAAAAGATGAACAAAAGATGGCTTACAGCCAGTGCATAGCAGGAAAGAGCTTTTATATGAGGACATTTGGTGCTTAGAAACAAATGATCCTCTTTCTTACTTTTTTGTCTTGATTTATTTCGAGGGCAAAAGTGCATGATTAGAGGAATTGATCTGAGTTTTTCTTTCATGGATGATTTTCATTTCCAAGATTCCTAATTGCTTCTTTTCATATATCTCTGTTTTTCTTTGATACTGTCCTGTTCTTGTTGCAAGGATGCTTTTGCCTCCTTGATCACACTGAACATTAGAAACATATTTATTTTAAATTTCTTTTCAGATTTCGCTACACTTTTTTAAAAAAAACGTCTGTTGACTGTCTCTTATGGTGGGTTTTCCTCCGCGTGATTTTGTTTTTTTTTCCTAGCTCATCTCACATTAATTCTTTTTCTTGTATCTGCTTCACTTTGTCGTCTGTTTTTGCAGCCTCTCTAACCTGGGGCCTGTCACACTGGGAAGTAGCAAGGTCTTCTAGTAGGCGGTTTGGGGCTTTCTTCCTTTTGGGCAATGCTTGCCCAGACCTCTCTGAGCAACCCAGGCTCACTGCACCATTTTTGTGTGCTTGGCTTTTTTTCCTCCCCAGACCACGGGCAAGCACTTTGTTCTTGGCTACAAACCCAAGTCTTGGGCGGGACGAAGCCAGGCCTGGTTCCCTGGCCAGGTGTGAGATTCGGGCCTCCGTGATGCCTGGGCTTCCTTGCCTTGCTTTGTTTGTTTCTTTGTTTTGTCTGTAACTTTGTGTTAGTGGAAGCTCTTGTGTAGGATATAGCACTGTTTTTTAATTTGTGAGTTAAAAATAATTTTTTTTTTTAGACGGAGTCTTGTCCTGTCACCTGGGTGGGAGTGCAGTGGCGCTATCTTGGCTCACTGCAACCTCTGCCATCCAGGTTCAAGTGGTGATTCTCCTGCCTCAGTCTCTCAAGTAGCTGGGATTACAGTCACCCGCCACCATGCCCAGCTAATTTTTGTATTTTCAGTAGAGATGGAGCTTCTCCTTGTTGGCCAGGCTGGTCTTGAATTCCTAACCTCAAGTGACCTGCCCACCTCAGCCTCCCAAAGTGCTGGGATTACAGGCATGAGCCACCATGTCCAGTCAAAAAATTTGTTTTTATTGAGGTGAAATTTGCATACCATAAAACTGGCTTCTGTAAAGTGCACAATTCAGTGACATTTAGTACATTCACAATGTTGTGCAACCACCACCTCTGCTTCCAGATTTTCTTGAAACCAAAGAACAGCCAGTGCCCCTTGAGCAGCCACTCCCTACCCATCTCCTCCCCCCAGAAACAGACTGCAACCACCAGTCTGTTTTCCGTGTCAATGGATTTGCCTATTTTGGATGTTTCACTTAAATGGAGTGACACAATATATGATCCTTTACGTCTGGCTTTTGTTACTTAGCATGATGTTTCCGGGTTCTTCCGTGTTGTAGCATGTGTCAGTGCTTCAGTCCTTTGTATGGCCCAATAATATTCAATCGTGTAGATTGAGCACATGTTGTTTCTCTGTTCATTGGCTGATAGACAATTGGGTTGTTTCCACCTTTTGGCTATTGTGAACAGTGCTGCTGTCAACATTCATGTACAATTACTTGAGTCCCTGTTTTCAGTTCTTTTTTTTGTGTGTGTGTGTGACAGAGTCTCGCTCTGTTGCCAGGCTGGAGTGCAGTGGCATGATCTTGGCTCACTACAATTTCTGCCTCCCAGGTTCAAATGCTTCTCCTGCCTCAGCCTCTGGAGTAGCTTGACTACAGGTGCCCACCACCATGCCCGGCTAATTTTTGTATTTTAGTAGAGATGGGGTTTCGCCATGTTGGCCAGGATGGTCTCGATCTCGTGACTTTGTGATCTGCCCGCCTTGGCCTCCCAAAGTGCTGGGATTACAGGCGTGAGCCACTGTGCCTGGCCCCCTGTTTTTAATTCTTTTGGAATTTACCTAGGAGCGGAATTGTCAGGCACATGGTACTTGGTTCCCTTTTTGTGTGGCTTTGGCATGGCCTGTCCTTGGTGATTGTGGGTCACAGGCTTCACCCCCTTTTCATAACTAGAAGTTTTCCTACCTAAGCTGGGCTGCATGGAGAGCTTCCTTTTGCTTTTGAGTGTGGCCATTAGTTATGCTTTCCGTAGCATTCCCATTCATTTGGAGTGGAGGGGAGCTCGGCCGTGCAGATGATGCTCACTCTGTCACCTTGCCCGGAAGGTCCTTCTGTCTGAGTTGATTTGGGTCTGTCCTGTGTCAGGGTGGGCTTTGCTATCCATTCCTGGAGGTATCTGATAATCACTGCTGACACTGACCTTTTGTACATTTACAGATTTGGATGTTGGTTCAGAGAAAATGGATGTATCTTGAAAGTATTTTTATTGGTGGAGATATAAGATCACAACTTCCAGAAGAGGCAAAAAAGTTTGACAACATCGATAGAGTATTTAAAAGGGCAAGTGACTCACTTCTGTTTTAGTAATGAAAGAAGGGCAGTGATCTGAGATATTTGTACATTGTATTTCTCCATTAGTAGCTTCTCTCTTTTTAGAGACAGTGTCTTGCTCTGTTGCCCAGGCTGGAGTGCAGTGATGTGATCATGGCTCACTGCAGCCTCGAACTCTTGGGCTGAGATCCTCCTGCCTCAGCCTCCCAATCAGCTGGGATTACAGGCATGAACTGCCATGCCCAGCTAATTTAAAATTTTTTTATAGGGATAGGATCTTGCTATGTTGTGCAGGCTAGTCTCAAACTCCCAGCCTCAAGTGATTCTCCCACCGCGGCCTTCCAAAGCACTGGGATTACAGGCCGGGTCACCTTGCCTAGTCCACAAATAGCTTCTGAATTTTTCCTGTCACTATATATGACCTTAATCTATCTGATAAAAATTTGTGTTTGATTTTTAGCTGCTGGCATATGACACTGAATCTTTTTCACATTTATCAGAAAAGCAATATTTGCTTGTTTAAAATATTTTGAAAATGTAGTACAGTGGGAAAACGTGTCTCTCATGGTTTTGTCACTTTCATGGGCCCACTTTAACATGTGACTATATTCATTTTATCTTTTTCCTATGTGTATTAATTTAAAAAGCGTAATTATAATCACATTGTGTACAACTTTATGTCTTATAATTTTTTCTTAATATTATGAGAAACATTTCATATTAGGAAGTCATCTGAGAAAATATTTTCATGGCTCTCTGTATATTCCAGTGAGTGGTTTGACATTAGTTTAGTTGATTATTCTCTAGTCATTTGACATTTGTTTGAACAGAATTCTTTGCTTTCATAAATAATGTCCAGGTTCATGCCTAATGCTTCTTCCATAGTTAGAGTGAACATCTTAAGATAGATTGTTAGAAAGCAAATTGCCCATGAAAGGGTGGATGCATTTTAAAGTCCTTTCTAGTGGCTGGTTAGTGTGGCTGGGATTTTAACCCAGCTCACCTGCCCTCAAAGACTGGGTATTTTGCTACTTAGCTCTGCTGCTGTGTTCATTAATTACAGGTGACCAGTTCATGTTTCGGTCTCTTTTATCCACTGGAGTTTATAATTGTTTTATACTCATTTGCATGAGCTCTTTTTTTAAACTTAAGAGACTTACACAACACATATTAGTCCAGGCATGATAACTCATGCCTGTAATCCCAGCACTTTGGGAGGGCAAGGTGGGCGATCACTCAAAGTCAGGAGTTCGAGACCAGCCTGGCCAACATGGTGAAACCCCATCTCCAGTAAAAATACAAAAAAATTAGCCAGGTGTGGTGGTGCATGTCTGTAATCGTAGCTACTTGGGAGGTTGAGGTGGGAGGATCACTTGAACCTGGGAGGTGAAGGTTGCAGCGAAGGGGGATTGCAGCACTGCACTCTAGCCTGGGTGACAGAGCGAGACTCCATTAAAAAAAAATTACACAACGAATGTCAATTCATATCAGTTCATTACAGAATGGTTTAGAAATTATAAAAAGCCAAGAAAAAGGAAGCAAAAAGTCCCTCCAGTCCCCTTACCCAGCGTAACCGTCTTAACAGCTGAGCATATGTCTTTCCAGAACGTTTATTCCTTCACAAACATACACATAGATATCGATAAATAAATAACATTTTAAAAAATGGGATCATTCTTTTTTCTTTTCTTTTTTTTAAGAGACCAGGTTTGTTGCCCAGGCTGGAGTGCAGTCGTGTGATCATAGCCCACTGCAGCCTCCAACTCCTGGGCTCAATATGATCCTCCTGCCTTGCCCTCCCAGGTAGCTGAGACTACACGTGTGTAATACCCCACCTGGCTAACTTAAAAACAAGTTTGTTTTTGTTTTTATTTTTTAGTGGAGATGGAGACTTGCTGTGTTGCCCAGGCTGGTCTCAAACTCCTGGCCTCAAATGATTCTCCTGCCTTGGTCTCACAAAGCGCTGGGATTACAGGAGTGAAAATGGAATCAATCTTACCAATATCATTGGCTATTTTCATTGAACAGTTTGACCTATTTTAATAAATAAACATTGAAATTATCACTCACAGCAGACGATTGACCTGTTGTTGGACATTGAAGCTATTTCCTTCTTTTTTCTGCTGTGTTGAAGAATGCTGCTGTGATTTCTGTATATACAAATTGCTCACAGTGGAATTGCCAGCTTTGTTTATTCAGCAAATGTTGATTGGACACCTACTGTGTGCTAGCACTGCTGTAGGGTGGGGTGGCACCCATCAGTGAGCAAAACAAAACAAAAAATCCTTTCCTTGTGCAGCTGGCTTTCTTATGGGATGATGAAAAATCAGAAACCAGTTAATTACATGTAGTACATTAGAAGAGGGTAAGGATATGCATGTTTAAAAATGATAAATTGATCCCTTGAAAGCTGATGGCACCGGGCCGCTTGTCAGTTTCGTCTCTGCTGTGCCTGGGCTTGGGTGAGTGCCTGTTCCAGGGTCAAGAACAGTGTCTCCGCTCTCCCTGCCCACCCTGCTTGACGGCTCTCCTCTGTCCTGGTCCAGATCATGGCCGAGACCTTGAAAGATCCCGTGATCAAGAGGTGCTGTGAAGCCCCGAACCGCCTCAGTGACCTACAGAACATCAGCGAGGGCCTGGAGAAGTGCCAGAAAAGCCTCAACGACTACTTAGATTCGAAGAGGAATGCTTTCCCGAGGTTCTTCTTCATTTCTGACGACGAGCTGCTCAGCATCCTGGGGAGCAGCGACCCGCTCTGCGTCCAGGAGCACATGATCAAGGTCGGCCCTCTGGGTGCGCAGGGGCTCCCTGTGTGAGCCTTAGAACCGCCTTCTGTCCTCCCTGGTTCCCTTGCCATGAGGTTCAGCCCAGAGAGTTAAGACTGAAATGCTGCTGGAGTTGGTTGTTTCGTTTGTTTTTTGAGATAGGGTCTGGCTCCGTTGCCCAGGCTGGAGTGCAGTGGTGCAATCGTGGCTCACTGCAGCCTCAACCTCCCTGACTCAAGTGATCTTGCCACCTCAGCTTCTGGAGTAGCTGGGAGCACAGGTGCACACCACCATGCCCAGCTAATTTTTATATATTTTTTTGGAGAGACAGAGTCTCACTATGTTGCCCAGGCTAGTCTCTAACTCCTGAGCTCAAGCGATCTTCCTACCTCAGCCTCCTAAATTGCTGGGATTATGGGTGTGAGCCACCACACTCAGCCATGGAGTTTTTATTTGAAGCATAAGCCTGATGATATTCACAGTCTGAAATAACAGCAGATTTAGCTCTTTTTCCACAGTCCAAAACTAAAAAAAAAAGAAATATACAAAGACTAATATATTAAACAGAGGAGCATTAGAGGATAGTGGTTTAGCACGTGGACTCTAGAGCCAGATTGCTGGGGTCCAAATCTTTGCTCTGTGCTGAGTTTCTGTGTGACCTTCGGCAACTTACTTGATTTCTCTGGACATCGGTTTCCTCATCTGCGAATGGACTTAACCCCAATAGTTACCTGTTTCAGTGGAGCTGTTAGAAAGATGAAATGAGTTGCTATTTATAAAGTACTTTGAACAGTGCCTGCCTTTCAGTGTTGGCTAAATAACCCTCTCCACTACCCAGAATCGGCACTGGTTACCATTTAGTCTTGTTTGGTTTGTCTGTTTTGTAAAGTTGTACAGGTTCGTAGTCCTCTCGGTCCCCATCCCCATTCATAGTTCCTCTACTTTCTAGAGCAGACACTATCATGAATCTGTTGTGATTCCTTCCAGACCATAATTTCATACTTTAAAAATAAATGTATATGTATCCGTGAACCATTTCCTAAATGGCAGGAAACAACAGAGAAAACTGTCCCTTGTGATAGAGAACCGAGGCTGGCCACACACGATCTTTGGCTTGCTAATCAAAGCTCTTCATCTAGCTTCGGCCTGGAGCAGGGGCTCTGAGCCTCGGCACTGCTGCCATTTGGGGCTGGAAGACTCTGCCGTGGGTGCTGTCCTGTGCATTGCAGGACATTAAGTAGCATCCCTGGCTGTGACCCACTAGATGCCAGTGACACCCCCTCCCCAGTTGTGACAACCAGAAACATCTCCAAACATTGCCAATGTCCCTGGTGGCAAACTTATCCCTGGTTGAGAACCAGTGTTGCAGGGTAATTCCCTCATTCCAGATCAACAGAGTACTTAGGACAAGTACTTTCTTCCATGCTTTCCCTTTAATTAACGCTAACTTCCTTCTTAAAGTAAGATTCATATTTTTGACTGCAAGTTTTTCCTTTCTCAAAGGGGACGCTTATACAATGTTCTGCTTCTACTTTTTTTTTTTTTTTT